ATATACAATATATATAATATAAAATAACTGATCTATTCAGTGAGCTTTATAATATACGTGAGCAGAGTGGGGATGTCCCAATCTAGACAATGACTGTCAATATAAAGATTGTACTGTTTTCTTTGTTAGAAATTCACTGATTGGCTAATGTTATTTTACTATTACAAATAGGAAAGAGTCAGAAAGACAAATATTTGTTTGCCTTCCTTTTCTCTGTTACGGACTGTAGTTTTCTATAGTTTAGTACAGGAAACGCGTGCCCAAGTATACTGTAGAGCTCACTGGGTCTATTTGATGATAGAAAAAGAGAGAAAGAGAGAGAGAGAAAGAGATTCTCATTCACCGTCGGTAGTGCGACTGAAGGGCATGCCACAATTCTCCAGCTCGATGACGGCCTTCGGTGCCTCGCGGGTCATGTAGTGAATGGCATCCTGATCGCCTAGCCAGTCCGAGCCCTTGACGGTGTCGTACATGTGCCACTGCCAGTTATCGTCCTCCATGTTGCCCAGGGCGGCATTGATGCCGCCCTGGGCGGCGACTGTGTGCGATCTCGTCGGGAACAGCTTGGTGACCACTGCAGTCTTGAATCCTTCGGCGACGAGGCCGTAAGCCGCGCGTAGACCAGCACCGCCGGCTCCCACCACCACCGCATCATACGTGTGATCCACTAACGGGTACTGCTTGGAGATTTCGTTGGAAATCTTGGCTGTTCGGTCCGGCGTGTGGTGAAATCTGCGGTTGCCGAGAAGCGGCAGTCCCAGCTTGTTCTGTGAAACGGAAACGAAGTAGAGATACCAAGGGCAAGAAAATCGCAATGCAGCATTCTATAATTAAGAGTTCACGTTTATTAATTGTTCACTATTGTATTCACTATTATATATATTATCACGTTTAATTGACGTAACTGTTTGGTTGTATAATTTCCATATCTCGTAAATTTTTTATATAAAATTCAAGGATATATATGATAAAAAATATATTCGAAAATATTCGATAATATAAAATTCGAATTCTGTTGAAATAGAGTTTCAGACAGCGACATACCAGGCGAAAAAAAATAATGCTGCTCTTACAAAGAGCTTTAGCTCTTACAAGAGCTAAAGGCAGCTATAAACTAGATATCAGCATTATTTTTTTTCAGATTGAATTGAGGAAGCTTCAATTACTTCCTTTCGTATTCGAGAGTTATTGTAGGTAAGATATCATGTGAATATGTTATTTATAATGAGTCACGAATATGCGATTACGTATACATATGCGATTACGTACATACGCGTGTATCATATGTATTTACTTATGTTCTATTTAGGAGATCACATGGTGATAAGCATTGTTGTAAATAAAACGTATCCCCATATTATAATTGTTTTTATATACGATTATATATTGCACATAATTATAAATATAACTATATATAAAATATAAATATAAACAATTAATTATAATATACAATTTAATTTAATTTTATGTTATTTACAAATAAAATTTTACACGTCCACGAGCAAATGTTACGCGAATATAGTGAAATGCTTATGATTAAAATTTACAAATCTTTTTAAGATGTAAAAAATGGAAACATGATGCAAGCAATATAAAAAAATATTGTATAAGCAGTTTTAATTAAATGCTTATAATACTAAATTGCTTCACAACACTTCATGAAAAATTTATTGCATATATATTTTATATCTTTATGAAGATATAACGATATGGCTTCTACGAACAACTGCGTTGAAGTTGAAGACAGAACCTGAAGATCAATTAGCGAGTTAATTAGACCCGCTAAGAGAAAAATAGAGACAGTGCAACGAGTCTTTTCATACATTTTGTTGCAAAATAATTAAAAGTGATAAACATTAGGTATCGCTCGGGATATTTGCAGAAAATGATAATTTTCCGTGGCTTATCGTCAACTTACAATTGCACAAAGATAAGGCAAAAAAACACATTTCTGTTTGATCTTAAGATCGCAGCAATATCAGTATTTCGTTATTTTCTTAGAAAAATTAATAATCTCAGTTAGTTAATATTACTTTGTTACGTTAAGGAGAGGGGGAGGGAGGGAGGATTTATTTTGGAAATGTTGAAAGAAGATTAATTAGTTTTTTAGATTAATTTGTTTTATCTTAATTTCGTTTTCCTAATTTAAAAAAAAAGAATTGCTTCGCGATTCAAATATTTATCTAAAAATTCGGTAGTAAATCCACATTGATATAATTAATCGTGAAAGGTTACGAGATATCGTAGAGGTACGTCGGTTAAAAAAATATAAAACAATAATGTTTTCAGATGATAATAATTATCTTTTTAATAAAAACGCTCTCGACGTCCACATAATTCTGGGATAAAAATCTTGATACAAATTAAATTCGATTTTGTGACGATCGTAAATATTTCGTGCGCGATAAACTTTGCATGCACAAATTTTCGAAATCATACCGTTAAATCCCGATAAACGAAGACATAAAATAAAGCTCATTATCAATTCAGGCGCGACGCGACATTTCACACAGGTGCGTGTCTCACACTTATTTCGCTGCCTACTGACTTTATCGCGTTGCGTCTGTATCTGTGAAAAGATTCTCAGATATCTAATTCTCTGAATGACGAATTAACGAAAATAATTAATATCACGAATCTAATACCGTCGCCTCGTTCTTTCAAATACCTTGCAAATATCGATACCTCGTTCACCGCTCAAATTAATCGACGTCTACACTGAAATGCTATAAAAGTGTATCTCGATTCGGATTCGGAATCGAGCCATCGAGTAAGACACCGTTAGATGGTTAGATGCGATTCGCGAGCAGCCCCCGTCGCGGTCGAACATATGGAAATAGAATGAATGTGTTCTATCTTGTGGCGGGATTTCTCAGGAACGAGCGAGGAAAGAACTGGGAAGATATTCCCTTGATAGTGAGAAGCCAAGGGGGATGCTATTTATCATGAACGACGAGCGGTAAGACACGCATTTATTGACGGGCGCGTGTATTTATTCGTACCATATGATTCGTCGATCGCGCGCACCTTACGTAATTGATCCACCTCGCTGGCGGGACGGCGAATAAAAAAATTACATAACGAGCCAAAACGTGGATGTGAATCCGCGAAACCCTGACCTGCCGCCACAAATCCGCCGACCGTCGTTGAATAACGGACAACGGGACGTTCGACGGATTTTTTTTCTTCCTTTAAGATGGCGCGAGGCCGCTGGTAACGCGAGATTTTCTAGGCCAGGTGTGTCCGAGATCGATCTCTAATTCCGTTGAGATACGAGTTGAGTTTCGATTTTCTCGCGAAAGAACAACCCTTGATGCTGACAATTGTACTCCCATTTTCTCAGTAAGAGAAATGCCGCGATCGCGATTCTACCTTCACGGGGTGAGAAATTGAGAATCCACGTGAAGCGTGAACGGGGACGTTAAGCCGCGCGATAGCCTCTATTGTTCGAATTGCGAACGCGTGCTCCGGTTCTCACCAGCGTCGCCGATCCGGGCAGACTTCTCGGCAGCAACGACGCCGACAGCTTCAGTAATCCGCTCATCTTACGTCACCCTGCACCTGTGCTTGGTTTCCCGTCGACCCGTCGAGATACGCCCCCGTGACAGACCCGCGCGCACGCGACTAACCCTCACGATATTATCGGTGCTTCGATCCACTCAGTTCGGCGGCTCAACACCGACTGAGACGCCGAGTGCGTCGGAATGTTGCGCGCGCACAGTGCTGCCAACGTGCTCCAACGTGCTGCTGAGACGCACTGAGACGGCTGACAACGGCAGACGTCATCCCAAATATTTCGTGTAATCCGCATGTTTCCGCATGTGATGTGATAATTAAAAATATATAAATACTGAAAAAAATTTCAAAATCGAATTTCTTAAAATCCTAATTCGAAAATCAATGAATCTCACATTTTCAATCATCTTATCACCTTCTAAAGGTGACCCTACATGGTCAACAATATTGTCAATAGGTACTAATAAATACTAACAATATTTCGTATATGGTTATAATATTGATGAATTGACGTACTGATGATGATCTGGATTTTGATTCTCGAGCATCAATATCGCTTTATTAAGATCCATATGTATATCATAGTATGTCACAGTGCAATAGATAATAAATCTGTTCTTTTTAGCTAAAGTTCTTGCACTTTCTTCCTTTTCTTTCCACGTTGAAAAGAGAAAAGATGAAACATGCAAGAAGTTTCATCAGCTAAAAAGAACAGGGCCAATGTACATAAAATTAAGAAGTATATTATCAATAATCTGATCGTATAAAGTTGTAAAAATATTAAAAATATTGATACACTGTATTTCTGATTCAATATTATTGATCAATATTGACCGTGTAAGGTCATTTTAACAATACGTTGCACAAAGTATTTATATCGGACGTGCCATACGTGTAAATAACCTCACTTTTATTTTACGCATATGTGATCAAATGAAAAACAAAAGTGAGAGTTTTAATTTTAATTAAAGAATTCTTGGAAGGAGACTTAGAAGGCTTTGGTTTCATATTTTATTTTCTATATTAGAGATAAAGAGAAAGAAGCAAAAGAGATAAATTGTAGAGATAGATATATAATTAACTTTAAAAATTTAATATAATAGGTTTATTTGTTTCCTTTAGATTTCTTTTTATCTATGTGACATTCATACGCATTAATTCTCAAATAGAACAAAAGTAGTCATTGTGACATCAAAATGACTTCAAAATGATGATGATACTAAAATTATTTTTTAATCAGTTATTGATTCATTTAAAAAAAATAAAAGTAAAATAAAATTCTAATGTCATTTTGATATTAATCGTGACTTGTTCTACTTGGATTATTGCAAAATAAACTATTTGCATGATGTATGTAATTTTTAAATAATGATCTGCTCGATATATTCTAGTCTGATGTATTTTATTTTATAAATTACACTAATATTCTCTTTGTTCTATGAAATAAAAATCGTAATATTTTAGGAACATTTAAAGAACTTACAATTATAATCAGATATGTATTTCTTGGATTTGTAGGCATACCTAATATGCATGTTTAATGGAATAAATAAAATGATTAATAAAAATTGACCAATCACAGTCGTCAATTCTTAGCTTCTGACTTCTGATTTATAACTAATGGCTTATTGTAGAAGGCTCATTAGTAATAATATATGTTATCCATACAAATTTATTGAGCATTTATCAGCGCGTTAATAATTATGTTATCAGTAGAAAGTACAATTAATAATTTATTTCTTACGAAACTAAGTTACAGATGCATTCTAAAGTGTCATATCTCCTTTGTATAAAAACAAAAAAAATGGCTAAGAGATTACGAAGTTTCATTATTATTCTTGCATAATTTTTATCACAGCCTCCGGCGCACATTCAAGGAAACGCTCTTCTAAAATTGCCTTAAGAAACAACGCTACTTTTGATTCGCTTTCTCTGTTGCAAATTGACATGAACGTTAATTATTTTTGCCAATAAACTACAGTATGCGAGACTATGTAATCTTTATAGAAATCCAATTTATACTGAAAGTTATTTATTTTAAATATTAAAAATGTTATTTATTGTTTATTTTAATTATCAAAATAAATAATTAATCACTATCCAATATTAAATTTCTATAAGGAAAGATATCCGTGTGAGAAAAATATTTAAAAGCAAAATTAAAGAAGAAATATTTTTAACGATTTTCTCATTGCGGTTTCTTCGGTTTCTAGTGGCTTAATTTCCGGATTTCGTGCATTTGATTACAAATATGTGTTAAGGGCTGCCGTATATACAAAATTCCGCAACAGTGACCATAAGACGTTATGGATAAGTTAACTGTTATTTTTATTTCCGTTAGATTACATAGATCTAAAGTAGTATCCTGATTGGCTCATCGGCTTAAGTTCACGTCTTAAGATTATTGTTACAGAAATTTTGTCTGCGGCAATTCTAAACGATAACGCGACAGCCGACTTAGATTTATAATCGGTTTCCTTTACGTTTCATTCATTCTATTGTTTCATTCTATTAGTTTTATTCATTTCTTGAGTCAATATACGCGAACTGCAGGGGGTACATGCTGAGCTTCGGTTTCGTCTAGAGTCGTATCGATAACGGGCCGATAAGAGATAAAGACCTGTAAACAGAGCGCGCCGTAAAAATCGTAATGTTTCGCGATAATCAGTAATAACCCATACAGCACAGAAAGAAAATTGCAGAAACATTACAGAATGATTTCACTGAAACATTGCAATATTGCATGGTGGTTGTGAAAAACGTTGCTGAATCATTGTTGCAAAATTCCAACAATATTAAAATGTCCGCTTTTTGTTATATTGCAACAAAACGTTTCGCAATAGTGCAATATAATGTATTTGGATAAATTTTTTACGAAGACTCTAAAATGAAAACTATTTCTATATATATATCTCAACTTTAATTCTTTTACAAATCGCATTTCTAGTGATATGTGCTTTCCAAAAGCAATTTTTTATGATAAAACCAAAAAATATTCTAATACAGTATTAATTCTGAAGGATAAATTTATTCGTAAAGATAAAACTTGTATGTGTGCCCCGAACAAACTATAAATATTATCCACATTTATATAATAATACAGTCGCTTAGTAAGTTAATCATGGATTAAATTAATCGCAATGATTCTTTTTAATTCGAAACTACTCCGAGTCAATTAAAAAATGACGATGTGAAATTTATCAATAAAGTTCGAGCGCTGGTTTTTTCTTGCGCTCACATCAGGCATAAATACATCATCGATTACATAATTAATATTTCGATTAATAAATTTTCAGCAGTTTAATTGCTTATCATCTTATCCGATAATGATGCATTGTATTCAAATTCGATTATACAATCTTTTGATTTCATATTTAAAATAAATATAAAACTTAGCTAATGAAATGGCTGTCAAATAATAGATCAATAAATTTTCTATTTAAATATAAAATGAATTATATTAATTATTATATCATAAAAACGGCTGTTAAACTAAAAGACACTGTACTACATAAATATTGTAAAAACTTATATTTTTATATTATTAGATGTACAACTTTGCTTCCGCCGTTTTCCTATAGATGGCTTTAGCGGTAAGTGGTGGTCGAAATAAATAGATCATAGACGTCATACAATAAACTTGGGCATCTGTCAACATAACCTCAAGAAACATTAGTCGATTTGTGTCTGCATAAAGTTATTCTCGATTGAAAATGTCAGTTTACGAGCCAAATTCTCATCATTTGCGGGAGGTTTTTATTTTTTGCTTCAATATGAAGAAATCTGTGGCTCATCGAATGCTCTCAAATACTTATGGTGAGGCCGCTATTAGTGAAAGAACGTGTCGTGAGTGGTTTCAACGCTTCAAGAACGGTGATTTTGACGTCCAAGGTCATGCTCTGTATTTGGTGGGACCAGCTCGGCGTAGTGTATTATGAACTATTAAAACCGACTGAAACAATCACAGGCGATCGGTATCGAACGCAATTGATGCGTTTGAGCCGAGCATTGAAAGACAAACGACCGCAATACAACGAGAGACACGATAAAGTGATTTTGCAGCATGACAATGCTCGACCCCATGTTGCGAAAGTGGTCAAGACATACTTGGAAACGTTGAAATGGGAAGTCCTACCTCACCCGCCGTATTCTCCAGACGTTGCTCCCTCTGACTATCACTTGTTTCGATCAATGGCACACGGCCTGGCTGAGCAGCACTTCCGGTCTTATGAAGAAGTAAAAAATTGGATCGATTCGTGGATAGCCTCAAAAGATGATCAGTTTTTTCGACGCGGGATTCGTACGCTACCCGAAAGATGGGAGAAAGTAGTGGCCAACGATGGACAATATTTTGACTCATAAATGTATAACCAGTTTTTTATAATAAAGCCTCGAATTTCGGAAAAAAAACGGCAGAAGCAAAGTTGTACACCTAATATTATTATTGTAATAATTAAAGAATTACAATTTTGCAATGTTTGTGGAATATTGCAAGCATATTACTGATATTTTGCAGACATTGTTAATTTATATTTCTGTAACACCTCAATGTTACATTGCAATCTATAATATTGCAATATTGCAGCAATATTGCTTCAATCTTCTGTGTTGTATGGGAATACTAATAAGACATATCTCAGTTGAAGATATGTAAAATATAATAAATCAAATATATTTTTAAGAATTAATCGTATAAAATTACGTAATGAATTTTTTAAGGTAAATATTGCTCATGTAATAATCATTAGTAATTACTCAGTCGATACTAACTAAAAGTGACATTGACATTGTAATTTCGCTGTCAACAATGTAACACTACATATAAATATAATTATATTAAGTGCGAAATTATTTTAACGTTATGCTATTTATAATTATTGAGTACAAAACTAATGACATTCAAATGACAGTTGATTTCTATCGTATATTTACTCACATATATATCTCTCATTACTTATGTCTTTTTTATATAAAGAAATATTTTTTCATACTGACTCATCATTGGACTCATCATTGACACATTAATTTTCTTTCTTTTCACATTAATCAAGAATTTTATAAATATAATATCTCTAATAGTACTTGTCACGGTAAAAATCTATCATTATAATGAATACCATAATGAATAATGTTATTAAGTCGGCCTGTTCTGTTATCTTATTCTACCAAGGACATCTAACATCTGTTTCGTTAAAATTTATGACTAATGTCTAATTTTAAATAACTGATTATTATTGTATTAAATCAAAAATTTTCAATTAACATTGATAACCGATCGAAGTTTGCGAAACGTCTGTTTTTATTATTGTATATACTATTATTATATGTCATTAAAATTTTTAAATATTCATTAGCTTGTAGCTCTTCTCGTTATTATTATTTAAAACAATGTTAGAACTTTCAGTTTGTATCGACTGAATATATTTCAGTAGCTTTTTTATAATAGAGCGTAAAAACTTTTGCATTTTCATTTGTAATCACCGAGAAGCTTGACCTTGTTTTGTCAACTATACTCTATCAAAAAGAATTTGATTGCATTTACTCTTGTGGCATTTTAACTAACCGTTCCATCCTCCTGAGTCCACGTAAGCGAATGTTTACGCCAGTGTTCCGTGTAAGGTCGTTTTTTTTGTCCCTCGAGCGGTTTCGCATAATCATACTCGTCAATTCTGTCCTAGAAACGAAATAATCGTTCACGATAATTTCTCTCGATTCAATTGGCTGAGAAACTCATAATTAAAATTATATTTATAAATTCAAAAAATTGCAACGGGTAACATTACTTATTTGAATTAATTATTTATATAAATTTATGACATTTTAATTTTTTTTGTTAATATAATTTTCCTATTTGAACCTTGAAGTCTTCCCTAGAGTGCGATCCTCTCGATTCCTTTCGATTTTCGGCTGCGTATATAATGTGCATGCAGACTAGCATCATGTTTTGCAACTCCAAGGCTTCGACGAGCTCGGTGTTCCAAATGAGGGACTGATCTTGCACCTAAAAAAAAACCATTCCAAAGCGATCTACATGTGCGTCTGGGTCTTGATAAAGTGTCTCGCATATTATCATCTTACGCAACGACACGTTGTTGCGCCATCGACTGCGACCTAGTGGTGCTATTATTTTATCAATCATATCGGGCTATTGTTAATAATTCCGTTATTGCAAATTGAGATATAATATTATTAATATTTCCGTAAACTGTACAAATTTTCAGATGAGTAATTATGAAATTAATTTGCGAATTTTGGACTAATATAAATTTAAAATAACAGGGTTGCCACAGACCTCGAAAACCGAGAAAAATCAGGAAAATTAAAATTAGTTATGGAAAACCGGGAAAAATCAGGGGAAAATATAAAAGAGACTGGAATTTTGGATTTATTCACAATTCCCTTAAACTGCCTATTCCAAATAATTTTTATAATTTTTTAAATATTGCTACATCTGGCGTTTATAGTCAAATATGTTTAAAACTCGTGTACTTTAAACAATTTTTAAAAAATAATTAAAATTTATATTTTGTTCAATAATTTTATTTGATCGTTCTTTTTCATAATAACTGCATTATAACTGCATTCTTTTTTTTAATACTAATTAATTTTTTGTTGGCTTGAATTTGCTCCCAAAATTTTATTATGTTACTAAACTTTTTTTGCATTTTTAATAATATAAACTAGCTTTCTTATAATCCTTAATTCTAAAATTTTTTACATATTTTATTATGTTAAAATTTTTACATATTTTATAATATATCATGGAAATTTCCCATTTTTATCTGGAAAACCTGAAAAAGTCAGGGAATTTTAAAATTCATTTTCTGTGACAACCTTGAATAAGATAAACAGAATAATTTTCATAATATAATATAATTCTCTGTAATATAATATCTATAATATAATAATATAATAATCTATAATAATCTATATATTCTCCATAATATATAATTATATAATCCTAATATATTTATTTCAATATATCCCTTAAATTTTTATCCATCGTTGAGCAAATTTTATTTATAAATATTTCGCTTAATTTATATTTCAAATTTCTAAATTTCTTCCTCTAAATAATTTTATAATTAATAAAGCTGAGGTGCATTAACAGCTTACGCATAAATCCGGCAGATCACAGGTATAGAGACGGGTCATCTCCCTGCATCCGCGCTGCAAAATATCGCAAGTTCTGAATACTCCGCAGTATTTCTGCATCGTACGTTGCATCTCTTCACGCAGCTCGGCCACGGGAACGTAGCCTTTCGCATAACGGGTTGCGTCGAAGCGACAAATCGACTGTTCACCAATGTCCTGCATCCAAATCGGTTTTTGACGACATGCATTTACATAATTTATGATTCATAAAATGCCTCCTCGATTTGAAGGCGCAAGTCCTTCTCAAGTTCTTCTCATCTTAATATACAATTTTAAGAAAAAAATTTATATATCGAAAAAAGAAAAAAGATGTGTATAAAAAAATTAAAATAGTAATACAAAAAATTAATGTAAAGATATATATTTAAAAAATTAAATTATAAGTATATAAAGGAGTTGCCAAAATATTTATAATATTAATTGTTATAATTGTTATTGCTTAATTATACTACTTATTATAATTGTTTATTGTAATTATAACAAAAAGATTTTTAATCTTAAAACGTAACATCGTAAAACGATCTGAAATGTAATGTAAAAATAGTAATGTGCAATATATATTGTAATGCTCATTAATTCGCGGCAACAAAAAGTTGCCTTTCAGAATGTAAAGAAATGTTTTTAAAGTAAGTAAGTTTTTTCCTTACTGACGACAAATCTCCGTGACGTTCGCCAGGCCTGCTAATGCAATCGATTTGATCGGCAATGGTTTTGCCAAAGACCATAATTTCTAAGAGACTATTAGCGCCCAAGCGATTAGCACCGTGAACGGACGCACACGCGGTTTCGCCGGCTGCCCAGAGACCTTCAATTGGTACGTCCTCTTCATTTTCTCGTGTTAATACCTGAGACAAGATTATTATTTATGACAAAAAATGCAATTACGTCATTTAAGTACCCATGCCATAACCGCGATAATCATAAATCTCTGTATAAACATGTTTACTTGCATGATCTGTAGAAATAATCGAATATTGCGCGTTTACTTTTATCAATAAAACGATGAAGTGTATTAATGATAATAATATGATTGTATCACATAATATACATACAGATACGTTTTGTATGTTTG